ACTGGACCAAAGAATTATTAAATTAGAGCCCGGATATTTCTTATATTTATAATGATGACTACATAAACTATTAAACCATTGATTATACCAAGATTAATAATTTAATAGGTATAAATTATAATAGTTTTATTATAAAGTTTAATATCTATGTTTTAACATATTATAATAAAGTTCTAAATATGACTAAATTGTCTTGGTGAGTCTTTTGTATGCATATGAAACAAATGGTAAAATGTATACTGCACCTGACATGAAACAAGTCTGCGCGCACCTATAAGTATTATGTGTTATTACTATCATACATAACGTAGTACAAAAAAGCAATGTTTTATGTTATAATAATTGGGAGGAGCTAAGTAAAGCCTCTCCCATTTGAACGTCAATTTATTAAAGTTTTCTCCGTAACAAAGGAACTGATTTCAATGAAACTTGAAATATGTAGTTGTGATATAGTTTTAAAAGGAAATTTTTWGATTTACTGGTGGTTTTGAAATGGATAGAAACGAAGTTATTGATGTAGGAACAAACAAGTATACAAATTATAGTTTAAAAAAAATTTTATTATATTTTTATATGTAGGTAATATTATACAGATTATTCGGAGTATGTTAATCAATTAGATAATTAGAATATTAGATTAAGTATTTAATGATTGGGACAAAGTCTTTCTATCATTATCTTGAACGTCAAACTAATACAAATTACAAACTTCGGAAAAAGGTCGTTATTGAATCTAAATTATTATCACAACACTATTAAAATATATTGTATTTGACCATTTTCGTGTATGGACATTTTTTATTCCGTGGACATTATTACCTATAGTCCCTATTAGCATAGTAGTGGTCGTGATCGTAGGTATCCATGCAATATAATGTTTCGCTAGATTATTCTAAGTAAATCATACGATGCTTTCACCTGGCTTTCTAAATAACCATATTTTACACAATGTGTGTGCTATGTTATAATGTATAATATTGTGTATGCGTTATATTCACCGTGGAATAAATTTTAGTTCCTATAATAGTCACTAAGATTACATTACCATCATATTATTATGTTATTCGTAATGTGACTATAAGGGAATCCACACAGAAAAATCTATGGGTACCATTAATAAATTTGAAAGTTTGAAACATTATTCTTTTATTTATTGTATATTATATATTACTCTAAAAAAGAATGATCAATTAATATTTTTGGAGGGCCACACATCTGGATTCTGGAAGACAGAAAATGTTCGCGGGCTATCAAAATTGCTGACATTAGTAAAAACCTATGTATAAAAATGATAAATTAAAATTTTTTAACGTATTATCGGTTCTTCCTTTTTGTGTCTGCAGGCCGCATATAGGCCCATAAACAAATTGGGGTGCCATTTGGCCACCTGCTCTAAACCAACTAAAAACATAGAAGCATTTGAATCATTTTGGATAACCCTGACTAATATAATTTTATGTCATTTGGGCGGTCGGCAAGAGCCGCGCGCAGCGTACGTGAGTTTTACCGGCGYGGCCATGGCAATAAGYCGTTTCTTGCTAACTTTCGTCGTCTAGTGTCGGTTCTAGTATATCAGCGAGAAGGTAGGAAGCTGTTCATAGCAAGTATTTTGATGATCTTCTCCTGTTAAAAAGTTCGACGACGTGTCACTCGTTTTGATAAGTAAAGTAAAGGATGTGATATAATAATTGATCGAAAAAATGCAAATATTTCGTTATTTTAACATTAATTTTAAACACCTTGTTAAAATAATTTCGTTTTCCAAAACGAATTAAAGGTTATTCTCTACAATAACCCACTGAATATTTTATTTTTTTAATCGTAAAAATACTTATAGTCTAATAATATTTTTTTGGAAAATCATATCATTATAATATAACAAATTTAATATACCTACATTATTTTATTTAAATGACTAGAAAAATCTATATTTTTTTTAGTATTAATATGGTTATCGTAATTAGAATTTAAAATTTTAGATCATTCTAATAGTGTACCTACTTGTAAGTTATAACTTATATATTATTTCATATCCATCCAAAAGTTAAACACTAGAATAACCTCTCTCGTTGTATTTCGAATATGCATACACTATAATAGGTGCTAATAATAGAACTTAATAGTTAATACTTAAAGTATACATATAGATATATATAAATAGGGTTTCGTATAATAAGTTGTATGTGCGTGAATGAATTTCAGTGCGTGTATTAATAAAAAATCGTATTTTATCTAAATATCTTTTGTTACTATATAACTATATTCGTCTGTGTGATAGGCACTCAAGCTATATATTATAATATTGTAATATACATTATATWATTGTATACGTAGGTCGTTGAAATGAACCGTTGTATGAGATCTATGCTACCATTGTGCTGTATAATAATTTACGTTGTAATATTTAAATTGTATACATCATATCGCTCCGAGTTGTCTGCGAAATTGCAGAAATAAAAAGGCGTCTGTGCGTATTCAAATATCATTTTTATACTATATTATATTGTATAAAGCATAAAGGTAGGCATACAAATATCAATAAGTTCAACGAGAACTTCAATAAACAAAGATACTTCGAGTAAGGCACTGCCATAACAAACTTCCCAGAGTCAATTGCATYATATTAGAGTGACTTCTGTAATATTAATGTATCTATGACAATATTGTACATAAATATAAAATAAAATTCCTATGGTGTATTTGTTGTGTTTCAAMCAATTGTCGAGTTATTGTACTATCTGTTDATCGTCACAGGCCATTGCGCCTTCGGCTGCATAATTCGAAAAATTGTGATCGATATTATATTAATAGTTACAAATTCTATATCTAAGAGGTTGTATAGAACCCAATTGCCAAGTATACTTACGCATAATAAAGACGACAACAAAACACCAGAAAGGCAGAAAAAAAGAAGTGTCTTCAAATATCGTCTATACGACTATACTATATAGATGGGTATATTTTATTATATAAACACACCAACCGACTTTTGACAATGGTTTATAAATCACAATCATTATTGATAAGTTTAACGCGAACTCTTAAAGACAAAGTACTTTGATATAATCTCTGCTAAACTTTTAACTCAAAGTCGATTGCATTTTATTTGTACACTGATTTTTATAACTAACTTAATATTTTTATGATACAAATAAATAAAACCATCAATATCGAAAATATTTTTATTTTCTTAATAACTATGGTAAACTTTGCAATTAATATAATGTATAATAAAATACCTATACAGTATTGATATTTAGTAGCTATATTATGGTTTTTATTGCACTTCAAACAACTGTCAATTTTCTATAAGGAGTGCAAAATATCTCATTGGTCATTGCCACTATACATATATGTCTGTATGATTCGAAAAACCAAGTATGATAAGTCACTCCTAAATTACTAGATTATGTAGAACCCAAAACGCACAGAATGTTAATATAATATAAATCGCAACAATCGTTTAGTTTAAAGTAATAGTACCGGAAATGTTCGAACACTATCACGTCTATAATCACATATAATATGTACAACAAACACAGTATATATATATATATATCTTAGTCGCGATTAATTACCCTCATCATTATGCCAGTAGTTTAAAGTGATTAGTTTAAAACTGTGCTAGTATAATAAGCAAGGCTACAGAGAAAGTTAATATTTTTTTTAGCTCAGTATGTTAAGTTAGTATTCATAAATAAGAAAAAGTTAGAGTTAAAAATTAATTTAATTTTTGGGTAACTCATCAGATAAGTTAAAAATTAATACATATTTTTTTAAACTTTTTACTACGTTAAAAAAAGGTAATTTTTGACAACGCTAATGTACTTTATTTTTTACAAACCCAAAACTAATTTATAGACTATGACTATAGCGTTTATTATACTTTATGCAGATAATTTTCATATAATATATGTATTGTATTTCATTGAGGTTTTCATTTCTTAAAAATTAACACTAGTTACTTATGTAATAAGTAATAAATAATAATTAATATCTGAAAATAATGAATTATTATTATTTAATTAAGACTCAAATATAATGTTTTGATTGTTTTGTGTGCGCATTTGTGATTAAGTATTACATTATCATTATATTATGTTAAATAAATAATCACGAAATATTTTAAAAATATAAAATGTTTAACTTTAAACAATTCATAGTAAATATTTTTACATGAAAACGAAATATACCGAAGAAATGAAATGTAAAAAATTAAAAACAAAATAAATTAACTTAATTTACCTTTTTCTTTTAATAAAAATTAATTCATTAATTTCACGTTAATTAAAAATAAATTTAGTAAGTTAATAGTTAATAAAAATYCAAATATAACTAGTTAAGTTAAGAAGTTTAAATTAAATTAAATTAACTTTAACTTTTTAACTCATTAATGCCCAGCCTTAACACAATTTTTAACATGGTAAATTTTTAATTTTTTTAATGACAATAATGGCGGTTTGTATTTTTTACTTCATAATCAATATCAGATTGTTAATTGATATTCTACCATCAATTACGAAAACACATATTTAAAATAAATTAAAAATAAATTATTGGAATTTCAAAATTGCTCGWTTTACGAGTTGGTTGTTTGGCATACAACAGGACAGTAACAAATATAATATTTTGAATAAACATTTTGATGCATAAATATCAATCGTTTAGATTCTATTAGCGGAGCGGAAAGGGATAACTCACATATTATTTATAGTTCACTATTATAATATATATATTATACTCCATTGAACTAATGACTTAAAATACCAATTAGGTAATAAAGTAAAAACTGTTTATTTGATAGGATATAAATATAATTATATAATTTGTATATAATATACATATATATTATTATCTATTCTGCTTATTTGGCCATGATAAAGCTTGTAGTTAGCGATATCGCAGAGAAATGTAAACAATGAGATTGTTTAATTCTTTAAGTCGTATAACAATAATATTATAACTACGTAAAACCGTTTTTTTTTTTTTTTTTATAGGTAACGCTGAAAACCCAGATGCTTAGAAATTAGGTGCAACTCTGCACTACTAAATATATAGTTTATCACTATCTGTACGATACTGAGATTATAATACGTATAATATTAATCGTTGGAGCGGAAATACACTGCTGTAAACTGAACTCGCACCGCACAAAAACACATCGCGCACGTGCCCTGCGTAATAGCATTATAATAAGACGTATAATAACGACACGGCGTGTTAAGTCCCGCAGGAGTGCAGCTGTTGCAGTTGCACCTTGACGGCCGTCCGAGTTGTGGCAGTAGTGTGAGGTTAGCCGATGTGGTATTCGGCTTGCTGGGCGGCGGTATGGTCCCGCCTGCGGGCACGTCGTCCATGTTGCGGTCCCGGCGCCGCGACGCGACCCTCAAGCCGAACCGGACGCTGGACCGGAGCGCATCCCGTGGAATGTTGTACGAGAACGAAGAGCTCCGGTTGCGCACAATCAACATCAACGCCGAAGTCGAAAAAGGTACGTGTGCATCGCTGCTACGAGCACGTCTCGTCAATATTATATTTCGAGTCGAACTCGAGGAAGTATATCCGAAAATAGTTACCTATGGCAGTAGCAGTGGTTTTGAATAAAGCCCGTATTTGAACATTTCGTGACCCGGGAAAACATAATAATGCTTAGCCTCCTGAAAAATAAAACTTTCTTAAAATTTAAGGGATAAGTGTGTAAAAGAAATAACGCTTCCATGACCCATACGTGTATGTATAAGTCACCGCCTCATCGTTGCGTGCGAGAACGGCAAACAATTTAATATGCTCATTTCACATTTGTATTTAATTTTAGTCCATCCTACAGATTGGCCTAATAATGCGATAATATTTCAAAAACTGATGTGAATTCGTTATGTCTACTTGAGAAGGATCAGTCCACATTTCAAGGATTGTGATTTTTATTTCGAATAACATTTCTGACGTTCTGCGATGTTTAAAACTTTCTAAATTTTAAAATATTCAAACCGAATTTATAGAAGTT